GCCCCGCCCCACCTCCACCCTCCCCCTGGACCAGAGCGAAGGCTTGGCGGGAAAGGTACCCCTGGGACTCTGTTCACTGACTCGTTGCAGAGCCTGCCCAAGGGCATTTCGTCCAAACAGAGGAGCCCCTTTTGCCCCAAGAAAGTGTGTGGCAGCCAAAGACCCAACTTGTTCTTGGGACGGCCCGCAGGTGCAGTGCCTCCCTCCTCCGTGGCTCAAAGGGCAGTCGGGGGATTCCACGATGATGGGTCAAGGAGACTGATCAAAGGCAAACTGGGTCACTTGGACCCTCCCCTTCCCCGCCCCCCTAGTGGTAGGGACACTGCGCTTTTCTCTGAAGACATCTCCCATGCTGCTCAGGCCCCAGACTGACAAGTTGCAGACAGAGCAAGTCTTTCACAGTTGTGCTGAAGGAAAGTCTGGGAACAAAAAGAGCTAGGACAGCGGTTCTCAACCTGTGGGTCGCGACCCCTTGGGGGTCGCCTAAGACCATCGGAAAACACATTTCCCATGGTCTTAGGAACCAAGACACCGCTCCTCTATCCATCTCCAGGCAGGTCCGCCCACATGCAGATACGCCCACCCTCAAGTACCCGCGTGGACTGTTACCCATGCTACACCATGCTTCAAGACAAAATGTCATTTATTTGTCATTAGAAATATTTCACAATATATGACATACTGTTCTTGTGAGTCATTATGCTTTAATTATGTTCAATTTGTAACAATGAAAATACATCTTGCATATCATATTTTACATAACGATTCATAACAGTAGCAAAATTACAGTTATGAAGTAGCAACGAAAATAATCTTATGGTTGGGGATCACCACAATATGAGGAACTGTCTTAAAGGATCACGCATTAGGAAGGTTGAAAACCACTGATCTAGGAGAAAAATGGTATTTCCCCTTTGCAACTTGTCAGTGATAGGGTTTGACCCAATGTTCTTGACCCAAGCCAAGAACATAGAGAGTTGGTGAAGTGTGGAGCGATCAAGTAAGTGATGAAGCAAGAATCCTTTCTGGTTTTCAGTGACTCCCTGCCCCCACTTGGGAAGAGGGGTTGAATTCATTCATCATATTCCCATCGAGTAATGGAGGTCGTACAGTCAAAATGTTCCTTAGAAGCCAGGATTGCAAGACTTTGTCTCACATACTTTGGGCTTATTATCAGGAGAGACCAGCCCAAACTCAAACCAAACACACTGCCGCGGAAACTTCTAACTTATCACGACCCTATAGGACAAGGTAGAATGGCCCCTTATGTTGCTGAGATTGTGTGGGTTACCAGGCTAGAGCTCATTATGGGAGTAGAAA